CCAGGAATTCACTGTTCCCATGCTCCAGAAGGAGTGTCGGCCCCCTTCTGACTTGCTAAAAATTGGGATTCCCACAGGTTAGCTGGTCTTCAGAAATCCTCAGGCCTCCCTCGGAAAGAATCCCCAGATGAAAAAGCTCTAATTCATATCAATTATGGTGCATAGGTTATAGAATCAAACTAATGAGCATTAGCTGCACACATCAGGGAAACACACTGCTGAAAATTTGCCCATTTACTCTGGTCTGTGGTGATTGGTACTGAGCAAAGTGTAGAATATCACCTTTAAACTGGAAGCTTTCTGACTTTTAGAGTTAATATTCTTTGGTCCTCATCCCAGATAAAACCGTGGGTACACAGGGAGGGAACCCCAGGATAAAACTTTCCACTGATTCCCATAAACAGATCTTCCAGCTTCATCTTCAACCATGAGATTTAGCCAGACAATGTGTGCCCACCATCACCAGGATATCCAGGTGCTTTTGCTCATCCATGTCAGTTCTCAGTCTGCTGCAAGGAGTCTTTGCTGAACCCAATTTAACACAGTTTTATTTCTACCAGTTGGAGCCCTTGCTTTCTTGGGGGCGTGTGGTGCTATATCAGATTGAAATTGCCCCCAGCATGGTAGGGGGAGTTGCCATTGAGGCGGAGTTGAGGAAGAGTAGGATGGATAAGGAGCGAGTGTTTCTCCTGCTCTGGGCCTGGGAGATCTACAGGAACGTGCCTGCGTGGATCTGTGCGCGCTGCTCCACGGAAACGAGGAGCTTCCTGACAGCACCGTGCGAGGAGCTGCCCCAGCGCTCCCTCTTCCCCTGCTCCGGCCCCATGGAGCAGGTCCGCTGGCTATCGGATGGCCTGAGTCATGATCCTCCAGTTTCCACATGTTGCTCGCAGCAGCTGATCTCAGGACATCGATGCGTCTCCTGGGGGCACGGCTGGAGCGGACTTTGCCCCCCACTACGCAGTGCTCCCTGCCCTTATCTGCCACCCGCCGACGGCTGCCGCGGCGGGCCGGAGAGCACCCCGCCTCCCTTGCTTGCGTGGGGTGGGCTCACCTAGCTTGGTGGGCGATCCCTGGTCTACAGCCGAGAGGAAAATCTTGTGGGTTTCTTCCTGTGCTGGGGAAAGTGTCTTGTAAATAGCTGGGTTTGGTGCCTTGTTCTGGAGTTGAGTCCATGCTGCAAGGGAACCAAATACAGTTTTTCCCCCCCCCCCTCCTCACAAAATCTTTGCAGTTTGCATCTAT